ATAAAGGGTATGACAACAAGCATTTGGATGTGAATTTGCTGAGTGGGAGGGAGGTCAAGTTAAAGAAGGTGCCAAAAATAAGCCTGCTTTTCAAAACCTTATTTAGAAATAGACAAGTTCATTACCTCATGTGGGAAAGGAGGAAAATGCTATGAATGGCCAAGTGTCCTGTCCTGAGTCAGAGGAGAAGCCAACCATTCATGGTCTAGACAAGCCCAGTTAGGGCCAAGGTCATGAGACACGGGGCATGGGGCATGACGTGCCACAAAGCACTGCTCGGGGTCACATGACGGGGCCTGATGAGCAGACTCATCTTGACAAGACTGTCAAACCCCAGTTCTTCACACCCTCCCTGAGAAGGACATGTGAGAGCCCGCATTCCTGGGCTGTCTCTCTGCATCACTCTGATAGGACCAGAGTCAAGACTTCGCAGCAAGAAACTGCATTCGGGTGACTGTGTTAAAATCATGCTAATGATCCAAATCTCAGCCTCCCAAGAACACTTGTTCACCGTAAAAGAGGAGAATGGGGAAGTCCAAAGGGCCAGCAGCCGCTCTACCCAGTCACTGCCCGGGCCCAGGAACAAGGGACAGAACGGGGATTCGATCCCTCTCTGCGCGCTCAGGCAGCGTGCGCTCCTGCACGGTGGCTCCTTGGGAAGCACCGGCCACCCCTGGCAGCTCCTCAGCTCTTCTGCATCTCCTGCCCCGCTGCCCGGGAGAAGCTTCTGGAGTGCTCAGCTAACCACACCACTTGGAAAGCGAAAACCTTCCCTAGCGCCTGAACTGACAGCCAACAAGAACCCAAAACATGAGGACACAGACTACGTAACTGCTGTCCACGGGAGGAAAAGCCACAGAATCATCTGATGCTTCTGGTTTCCAAGGAAAAGCACAGAGCCACTCCTTTAGAGTATTTCTAGCCACAGAGTGCAGCGTTTCCCGAGAATGTTTCCAGTGCCTGCCTTTTTATGATTACACTGGTGTTACAAAAATCCTCCCTGCAACCTACAGAGCATGAAGATGTTCTGGAGCAGACACGCCTCCCAAAGCACTCCCATGCCAAAGCTGTAACCCACACACACCTGTCAAGTGCAGCAGCCCACAGGTGATGATTCTGCTGTAGAATGAATTAAAAAACTATGAAATCAGCAATCTCGGTTGGCATCCATTTTGAAACAAAACCTGTTTTCATGTGCTGATGCCCAAGGCAACTTGACGTTTTACAGATCAAAGACATGCTGTTTTCTGTGCCGATTAAGGGAACATGCAATGTAAGGACAGGGGGGTTTGGGGAGACAACGCCTCTTCTAATTCACAATGGTAAACACCTGTTTTCTGCACTCCACGGGAGGGAGAAAGGCATCCACAGGCAGAGATCCACAACTAAATCTTTTATACCCAGGATTCTGGATAAAAAGAAAAATGACACTCTAACAGTAGACACGGAGAAGCAGTGAATAAGAACTCTGTGCTTATGAATTATTCCAAAAGTAGAGATTTGAATTTCCAAAGAAGGGAATATTAGTAAATTAACCAGAATTAGTGCATTAGTAGATTAACTAGGAAAAAAAACAAACAACCCAACACAGGCAAAAGTTTAAGGCCATAGTATGTGATGTGAGTGTCAATATGGATTAGCGAGCTCTCAAGGAGATCGCTACCGTGCTAGCCTGTAGCCATGAGTAAAACAAAGTAATGTACCAGTAAAGTTCTAAGAGTTGAAGAAAACTGATAAAGGGTACATACAGAAAACTGACTGTGAAGTATTGCTTGGGTACTACTAATTTAGTAATTACGGTGGACTAGGTATTTGAAGGGCCCATCTGCTATGCTGGAAATAGGTTCTGAATAAATTAATTTTGGGAATACTTTCTAGTACACTGGCTAGCTCCAGCTAGAGAAACGAACACCAGGAAGACATGGCAGGGACAGTGCACTGAAATCTGAGCAAGGAAGAGAGCGGCAGTTGCTGTGGAGGCCAGGTGAATACCAGCAATGGGATGGGGCATCCAGACCCTCTGCTTTCTGCAGGGAGGGAAAACCCAACCAGAGACCAGGATTCCCAAAGGAAACGAACATGGTCCTGACTCTGTAGCACCCCCCTGGCTCCGAGAACAAACACACACAAATTTCAACAAGACCTCAGGATTCTGCCATATAATTATCAAACAAATATGACCACACAATCAAAGCTCACCATGGACACTAGGTAACAAGCCACAAACACAGATTTACTGGCATTATCCGATACAGAATATGGAACACTCTCTTTGGTGTTGCTTACAGACATGAAAGATGGAGGTGGAAAAAAAATGAGCAAGCAAAAAAAGAGACCACTAAATATATTCAGCAGATTGGAAGCAGAAATTGAGCTTTTCAAGATGAAGAAATAGGGGGCCTCGGTGGCTCAGGTGGTTAAGCATCTGCCTTCGGCTCAGGTCATAATCCCAGGGTCCTGGGATCAAGCCCATCATCAGGCTCCCTGCTCAGTGGGTGGCCTGCTTCTCCCTCTCACTCTGCTCATGCTCTCTCTCTCTCAAATAAATTAAATACTTTTTAAAAATATTAAGAAATATAATCATTGAAATTAAAAACTCAAAGGATGTGTTAAATAAAAAATTCAACACCACTGAAGAGAAAAGTACTGAACTGGAAGCTAAATCTTAAGAAATTACCTAAAATCAAACAGAAAAAAAGGACAGGGAAGAAAATACCAATTACAAATTAAAAAACACAGAGAAGAAAAAGAGAAGCTCTAACATCTACTTATCAAAACCAGAAGGAGCAAATAGAGTGAGGGGAGAGAGACAGCATTCAGAGCATTAATAGCTGGGAAATTTTCAGAGCCAATGAATGGTATGAATCTACAGATACACGACACACAGCAAATACAAACAGTATAAAAACCAGAAAGCCGCACACAGACACAGGGCAGGGAGACTGCAGGGCCCCGATGACAAGTAAGTGATCTCAAAATAAGCTAAGCCATTTACCAAAGAATGACGATGAAAGACCTACCGTGGTTTCCCAAGAGAAACAACGAAAGCCGTAGGACGATGAGCAGTATGTTCACGATGCTGCCAGACAGTGGCTGTCAGCTAAGAACTGGGACAGCAACATGAACACATGTTCACATAAACCAAAGTCGAAAGAAGCTACCACTCAGTGATTCTGAGAGAAGACAATTCTGAAGGAGGCACCTCTCACCAGGGGAAAGGTACAGGATGGAGGAAGGGAAGAGATGCAAGACATGGTGGAAATATGAAATTAAACATAGCATCTCTAACGGGTAACCATAGTCTGACGTGTCCGGCAAAACACAGAACTGAAACACAGAAAGGAAGGCATGAGAACAGAAGGAGACACTGTTCACTAGGTGTCCTACAAGTTCATACTACTCTGAGAGGGGAGAGCAACAACTTAACTACGGATTGACTTCAAAACCATGAAGCATGCACAGTGTACTTTCAGGGTAATCACCGAAGGACAGAAACGGAATGCATTCCAAACCCGCAGAGAAAAGAACACTGAATGAGAACACAAATCAACAAAAACTTCAACCAATCAATCAAAACAAACAAAAAAAAGATTAGCAATGAAAATGAACCAAACACATATAGTTAAGGGAGTACTAGACAGTATTTCAAAAAACAAAACCAAAAAAAAAAAAAACCAGAAACGAAGAAAAGCGCCATTAGCCATACAATAAAAGACTGAAAATTTTGTCTACATTAAAATCACAAACTCTGTTCTCCAAAGTATAGTAAAAAGAAAAATGCTCAACCTCACTATTAATCAGGAAAATGCAAACTAAGACCAAGTGATATACTATCTTATACCCATTAGACTGGCAACAAAATACCCAATTTTGGAAGGAAGTGGAGCAACAGATAAAATGTGATAGATTTTTTTTTAGAAGATTTTATTTATTTATTTTTGCGAGAGAGAGAACACAAGCCGGGGGGGAGGGGGGCGGTGCAGAGGGAGAAGCAGGCTCCCCGCTGAGCAGGGAGCCCGATGTGGAGCTCGATCCCTGGCCTCATGACCTGAGCTGAAGGCAGATGCTTCACCGACTGAGCCCCCCAGGTTCACATGCAACAAGTGAATGTGAACAACACAACTGAGTAAATGTAACCTGCAGAATGCTATGTGCAATATACCCTTCTTATCCAGCCTGAAAACAAGCAACACAAAGCACTCTCCTGTTTGCGTATGTACACAGAGATGGGAACTGTGTTTCAGGATGCCAAGCAACCAGCACCAGGAAGAGCGCAATCCCATGCAGGGGATTTTCACTCTTGGTCAAGACTGTTTCTCAACACAAGCAATGGTGTGCTGGTCTGGTTCTGGAGCAAACCCTTCACGTCATGGCAGGCCGGCAAGCCCGATGACACAGCCCCAGGCCGTCCAAGTGCAGAGCAGAGCGCACGCTGGGTAGCCACAATCTTCCCAGATAGAGAGCCTCCATCACAACCAATTCCAGAAAACAGGAAAAGTCCTGGGCCCAAATGGCACCCTAGGCCCCCCGCCCCTGGAACCTTCCCTCATAATTTCTTCTACAAGCAATTATATGACAAGGTATAGTTTCAGTTAAAGGTGAAAAATGGTGTAGACTCAGGAGAGATTTTCCTGAATCCTGAATCCAGATGGCCCTTTTTCCTTTTAAATGTCCTGATTTATTACGTGACTTGAGAACTCACAACACCCTTTCCATCATCTTCAGCGACCCTGGCAGATGCTACTCCTTGGGCCCTTCGTTTCCCACATGTCTACACCCTGGCCCGTGTTGCCTTCCCAGTCCAATCCTGTCTCCTTCCTTCCCCAAACCAGACTTGGCCTTCCCTGGGCTGATGTTGAGCTGGGGCCCCTCGAAGGCCTAGAGGGCCCCTCCATGCAGCAGAGCCTCATGTACAATCACAGAACAAAGCAGGAGTGACTCTGGGGAACTTCAGATCCATGACATGTCTGCAAATGGATAAAAGGTGGAGTCTGACTTACGTGTTGTCTTTCATACACTCTCTGCTATGCTCCTACTTCACTGCTCTCGAAATTCAGAAGATCTATAGCTCTTCGGTCACTGGAGCTTGCCTGGAATAATAAGGACAGGAAATGAGAAAGGAGGCAACTAGAAGGAACCAAAGGGCCCACTGGGGAAGGAAACTCTCTTGTGCCATCATTCTTGACATTTAAAAGGGAAAAGGGCCACCAGAAGTAAAGAAAATCTCCATCAACCTCCAGTCAAAGCCATTTTTCGTCGTTAACCAAAACTATTAATAGTAATTTTTTTAAAAGATTTTACTTATCTGACAGAGAGAGACACAGCAAGAGAGGGAACACAAGCAGGGGGAGTGGGAGAGGGAGAAGCAGGCTTCTCACAGAGCAGAGAGCCCAATGCGGGGTTCGATCCCAGGACCCTAGGATCATGACCTGAGCCGAAGGCAGACGCTTAACAACTGAGCCACCCAGGCGCCCCTATTAATAATAATTTAATGCTTTCAGAAGAAATCTTCGTTATTTACAAAGACCTTTCACACACACTTTTTTTTTTAATTTGAGCCATAGACTTTGAGAATAGGCAAGTATCATTTTAAATGCAGCAGCTGACGTTCCCTCATAGAGGAACGAGAACCACCTGGACCATTCCAACCCTCTTCCATGACACCAAATCGTAATAGGAGGGTTTCAACCTGAAAAGCAGTATTATTATTTCTCCTTGCACTGCATATACTTTCTCAGCCAACAGACACAGAAATGGCTTTGCCTGTTGAGTGACAAAGTGACGGTCATAGGATTAAATGTTTATTTACCACAGGAAACTCAGGAGGTAGAACATGCACACCAGAATAGTTAAGAAATGCGCGTATCTTGTCCACACACCCTCCTTTTCTCTTTAAGTCATAGTTATAACAGCTGGGCTGCTTCTTTTCTTTTTAACTTTTTATTTGGAAATAAGTTCGAGCTTACAGAAAAGTCACGGAACAGTAATAGTACAAAGAACGCCAAGTACGCCTCACTCAGATGCCCCTACCACCACCCAGCAGCCATGGACCTGACCACTCACTCGCTGCAGACTCGCTACGGACACACACAGCGTCGATTCTGGGCCGGGGGAGGTACGTTCCAGGCGTCATGGCGCTTCACCTCTAAACACTTCAGAATGGGGATATCCCCAGATGGCGGTAAACCCAGTACTTTACCGCCATCTTCAATTAACCCCACGATGCGCTTCATGGAGACTCTTTCCCCCAATTCAGGATCCAGTCCAGGGGCAGGCGTATAGCATTTAGCTGCATTATTCCGAAACACACAGCTTGCTTTGGTCTTTCATGGCCTTCGCAGTTCAGATTAGTATCCCCCATCTCTTTTGTATTAATAAAGCATTTCTGTTTTGACTTGTCTGACGTTTCCTCATGATTCAATTCAACCAGAAACCACTGAGGTGATGCGTTCTTCTCCAGGGGTCTCATCTGAAGGTGCGGGAGGCCCACCTGCCCCTCCTTGGCCGCCCAGGCCAAGTGCTGTCCAATTTCTCCGGTAAAAAATTATTTTTTCTCTTGAAGCTAATACGTCACCAGGGAGGAGATACTGTAAGGCCAGGAAAAGACCTTGCCCCTCATCAAAATGCCCCCTAGGTCTCGCGTCCATCGCTGACCTGTGCGGCCACGGCCGCTCCGACACCCTCCACATTACCCTTCGTTACTCGGTACCTTATTGTTTGCTCACCTCTTTGTCCATTTGTGGCCACACAGGAAGTTCTAGTTTTTCAATAATTGATCATGTTTATCCTGCCGCGTATGATTTATCTCTGTGCTACACCGTCTTGGTGCTCAACCTACCTCAGATCTAGCCGGCAGGCACCCCCTTAAACCTACCTCCTTTATCTGTGCAACGCGCCACCCCACCATTGTCTTATTTTCCTAACTTTTCTTTCCTTCCTTTCTGGCATTGAAAGAGCTGGGCTCCTGTTGTGCTTGCCCTGTCTCTGCCCTGCATGCACTCACTCCTCCAAAGTCCTGGCTCCTGGCGGGGAGGAGGGCGTAGGCACTGGCTGCTTCCCCCGTCTGCGGTTCGGCTCATGGACCAGCCACATTTCCTGCTTCTTCGCCGTCATAAGGTGGGCAGTTAGAGGGGGTTCCGTTTGATCCAGAGGGCAGCTAAGTCATCGGCAGACCAGCTCAGTCATGGGAGGCTTGGTGGAGACCGGGGTGTTTGAGCCGTGCCCTCCCGGGCTCTACCCCCACGGGAGGGCGAGCCCAGCAGCCGCGGCTCGCCTTTCCCTCTCCATGGTTTCAACATTCAGGGATGCTTCAGGAACACGGGCTGCTCTACCAGAAGGGGGAAGAATCAAGACACTGAGCATACAGTGAAGGCTCTTTATTTAAACATTTCAAAGAACCCCTCCTGCTAACGACGTTTCTTAGAAGTGCATGTGTTTACTTGCACTGCAACACGGTGGCGGGAGAGATGCTCTCTAGCCATCTGGCAGACTCTGAACAAAATGCCAGGGAAATGGCTCTATTCCTTCCGGGAGGCTGACCGTCACTTCAGATGCCAGTTGGCTGTCACTCGGACATGAATCGACACTTACTTCCACAACCCTTCCTCCAGGGGCATACCAAACCACTCCAGGCTGCCAAAGAAAGAAAACGTAGTTGCTACTCTTCATTCTTTGTGTTTACGTGCATGTACTTAGGGGTGGGGAGAAGAGTCCTCTCAAGAGAAATCACCTTCTAGTGCATTTACATTCCGCCTCCTAACCACTGATGAGAAAATGAGAAAAACAGTCAAAAAAGGGGTCCCTGGGTGGCTCAGTCGGTTAAGCAGCTGCCTTCGGCTCAGGTCATGATCTCAGGGTCCTGGGATCGAGTCCTGCATGGGGCTCCCAGCTCAGCAGGGTGTCTGCTTCTTCCTCTCCCTCTGCCCGACCCCTGCTTGTATGCATTCTCTCTCTCAAATAAATAAATAAAATCTTCAAAACAAAATAGTCAAAAGAAAAAGAAAAGAAAAAAGAAACAACTCTGAAACCCCAGACACGAAGTTAATCAAAAGGTAATTGTCAGACAAGAGCAGTATTTTCATCACATACAGGAGAAGAGAGGAAAATGGCGAACAGGCCCTTCCCCGCCCAAGCCAGGAGCTCTGGGCCAACAGCACACACACGCGCACAACACCCTCTTCCTACTTCTTGGGCAGACTTTCTCCTTATTAGAAATCCACATGCAGCCTGCCTAATCCAATTTCTCAAAAGGAACATGCCCGCCAAAGGCTTGGCAAGTCCCACCCGGCTGCCTCGGGCTCTACCTCGAGCCGCCGAGAACTTGCAAGCAAGCCCTGTTACACATGTCCACACATTGTGTACCTGTCCTCTTGCCCTCGCACTCTCCAGACAGACCTGTCCCATCAGGACTCTCAGATCTTAATTCTGCCTCCCCGAGTCAGCAGTGCTCAGCACCCTGATCAACCTAACCGTCTGCCCCCCACTTCCCGGAAGCCTCCACAATCTGCCCCCTGCCCAGCTTTGCACACATGTCCCAACGCTGTCCGCCCATCACAGTGAACACCCTGCGGCCATCGCCCTTCACGAGACACCCTGCCCTCCCTTTCTTCTCTTGACTAACTCACGGAGGCCTGACGACCTTGGGGAATTTTTCGTGATCCCCATTCAAAGCTGGGTGAGTGCCCCAAACTTCCTACTCTCACAGCACCTGTGCTCACTTTTAAATAATCAGCCAACATTTGCTGAGCGCCGACGATGTGCTAAGCTACAGGCACCTACCACACATCACGTCACTGCAGGCCCACACTAGGTCCGCAAGGGGGAGGTGGGGACTGGTGCTCTTCCCAGGGACAAACAAATGGCGTGCCGGTTCAAAGATTAAAAGGACCTCTCAGAGGGTAGAATCTGGAGTTCTGTAGAATGAAGTCAAGCCCCTTCTCAAGAAGTTCTTACACTGTGTAACCAACAGGCTCCCCCACTAGGGTAACACGTCAGCTCCGACACATGGCGCAAGTGAGGATCAGTGAAGAGGCAGACACCCACCCACTGGACTCCGTCGGGGCCCCCACGTCGCTGAGCCAATGCCCAGCTGGCCGCAGGCTCTGGACCTGAGCTGAGGGAGGAGCAGGGGCAGGAAAGCCGAGGACAGCTGCCTGGCAAAGGCCCCGCGGACAGTGTCATGAAGAGTGCGGCAGGGAGGAGTATTTCAGGACAGCTCGTCACTCGCCCAGGTTCCCTTCTTCACGCTGCAGACCCTGACTATGCCATCATAAATATCGGCCAGGCTCAAAGCGATCTAAGGGCTCTACTCTCCTGGGGGAAAATGTTTCTTAAAAAAGGGAAAGGATCAAAAGGAGAAGTTGTAGAGCGCCCTGAAACCTAACTCAAAGTGTGAAAGTCACAGGGCACAATTAACCTGGGGAAGAGGAAGCAAGGACGGGGCCACGGTGGGACATCACGTTAAGCACCACCTGGCCAAGAGCAATGGACAGCATTTTTCCATTCCTGCCAAAGACAGAGCACAGCAATCAGTTTTAACCTACAGTATGAGAATTTGGCTTCAATATGAAGATTTTCCCCAAAGCAAGAATTTTTAACTAAGGAATATGGCGTCTGTGTCCCATGGCATGACCACACTTCAATTACCAGCATGCAGAGCTCCCATATCGGTGCTCAGATAGCACTGGGATCCATGATTCCGCCTCACGGAAGCTGCGATCGTACAGACAACACAGGGTTCATGGAGTGCTTTACTGTAAGCTGGAAGTCACCCGGGGGACCTGGGGGGCAAGCCCAGCTAGGCTGTAGGACTCACACCCTGCTTCCCTGGTTCAAAGTCCAATATCTTCACTACAGGCATTAGATTAAAGTGCACGAAAACTTACGATCTGTAAAATGGGACAATACCTGCCTCGTGAGGCTCCTAGAAAGATTCCGTAAGTTAATCCTCCGATATCCAGCCTGTGCTTATCACAAAGCAAGCACTCTGCTTCTACTGAAGCCGAGATAGCCTATTTCAATGAGTCCAATTTAACCTCAAGATGAAAAAGAACAGGTCATGTGTTCAACCGCTCAGCCCACCCAGATCCAT